CCCTAACTGCGGGTCCCGTAAAAAAACGTCTCCAAAAAAAAAAAAAAAAAAGTCAGGTCGAGGGCCAGCGAATGGTGTACTGGTTAAAGATGCTAGATTCCCATATGGCTAACTGTGGTTCAAGCCCTGGACTTGGTGGCTTGCTTTCTCACTTTCCCTCTCTCTCTCTTTCTCTCTGTTTCTTTCTGGTGAAAACACATTCCCTAAAGCAAAGTAATAATTTAAATAAAATAAAATAATTTTTTTTTAAAAGTCAGGCAGAAGGCAGTGGGTGTAAGGCTGATTGGGACCCACTGAGTAAGAGAAGACAGAATTTCCAGCAAGGAGTTGATTCAGTTTCACTGTCGTGTTTTTAAAAATAGGTATGTGGGAACCAGCAGTTAGCGTAATGGCTATGTCGCTGGACTCCCACGTAGTCGACCGCGGTTAGTGTCCCGGACCCGGTGGCTTAAAACTCACGCCGGGCGCGTGTGCGTGCGTGCCCAAGATCCCGAGAGGAGAATGGAGGAGAAGGGATTGCGGCGTGACCATCCCCCCTGGGGGGTGATTTCTCGCTTTCTGTCTCTATGTCTCTCTCTGTCTGTCTGGCGAGCGCATGCGCCCTACAGTGAAAATCTGTCAAAAAAAAAAAAAAAAAAAAAATGTATGTGTCCTAGGGCTGGCTGGCAGCTTGGTTGTCGAAGTAGCCAGAGTCCCGGCATGGCTGACTGTACATTTCAAGTCCCAGAGTCGGGGCTTGAGAAACGTCCAGGCATGACAGTGAGCCTGCTCAAAACCCCAAGAGGAGGATGGAGGAGAAGGGAATGTGGCATAGCCAGCCCCCTGAGGGTGCTTTCTCATTCTCTCTGTCTGTCTCTGGTGAGCACACACACCCTATAGCAAATTTTAAAAAATCTGAATGTAACCAAAAGCTACATTTAAGCAGTGGTTAAAGTGTAAACCAAATACCATGTCTTTGTGTTCATTTTGTAAAGGTGGTCTTTTGGGGATGAATAATTTTGTTAGGGACACAGTTAGAAGGAATATCAGCTAAAATTTAGGAAAAGGCCTGAAATTCCCGTGGGCCTCCGTAGGGAAATACAGCAGCACGATGCAGGGTCAGATGCCTTCTCCCTCGCATGGAAGGGAATTGGGGACCCGTCTGAGTGAGGGAGCGTGGAACCCTTGGTCCTCTCCGCTGCACGGTGTTGGGCACTGGTCATGCTCTGGGACATGCTGGTGCTCAGCAGAGGTACGCATGTCTCCTGCCTGGGGACTCGAGCCCTAGCGCGTTGTCCTCCCCCTGCAGTTCTTGTCTGCGCCCCAGGCACGCACTACTGTCCCGGTCCTTGGCAGCTCCGTTGTAGACAGTCCCCGGCTCTGTGTGTTTCTCGCCCCCTAGCCTGAAGTCCTTGCTTCTGCTTGATTGAGCGGCGCCCTCGCACTGTAGAACCCAGTCTAGGACTTCAGACACATTCCAGCCCCCTCTGTGGTCCCACCCTGGTCTTGACACTTACTCGGAGTGCTTTGTTTTGTAACTAGCTTACTTCCCTCCCAATTAACAAGCTGTTATGGACGGAACATGTAGATGCTGTCTCGCTACTAGTTTCTTTAACCTAACATTAAAATGTGCTCTTTTTCCTGTGTCAGTAAACTCCTGCAGTGTCCTTTTCAGTAACTCCATAGTCGTCCATTGCATGGGTCTGTCCTGTATTATTTATCTGGCTCATTTTTGTTGGACATTTAGGTTTCTTCTCGTTTTCTTCACTGTTGTAAATAACCCTGCAGTGCACATATCCTCTTAAGGTTTCCTCAGGAAGAATTTATAGGTGTAGAATGGCTAGCTCAAAGTCCATTCTAAGGCTGTTTGATAGTCATAGCTTGTGTTTAAAATGCCCCCTACGAGAATGTAGGGCTGAGAAGGCTGTCCACAGCCTTCAAACTGTTCATGCACTTAAGGCTCATGGCTGCTGGGAATTCAGGTTTTTAGATAAGGTTGTGGTTTTTGTTTGCTTTTTTGTAGGAGACTTATATAAGAAGCCCAGGCCTGGAGATTTCCTGCCAGTACAGGCCTAAGTAGAGGTGTCCCTCCTCTGGTAGCTTCAGGGACTGTGTGTCACAGTAGGGAACCCACAGGCCTCTTGCTTCTAAGGATGCTAGGTTGTTGCTTACTGTGGAAGGGGTGGTTTTGCTTAAGTTTCAAATGACACTAGTTTCCTTGGAGGGGTCTCTAATGAAAACAGAGAGGAAATCGAGGGATCCATGGAATCACTAAGATTCGAAGGTCTGAGCCTTAAAGATGAAGCAGAGAACCAAGAGGAAGAAGGTGGGAATCGCGCTTGGGCCTGGAACAGACACTGAACGTATGCAGTTCTCACAGTGTGGAACTCCCGACGAAACTGCAGCTGTATTTGATTTTTTTTCCTTTCTTCTTTTTAGGTGTCTCATTCAGTTGCTAAACTTATATTAGTTAATTTCCACTGGCAAGTCTCAGAGATATTGGACAGGTAAGGTGTTCTGGGAGGGGAGATGACATTGCTCAAAACTCCCCGTTCTGTCCACCCGCCCAGTGGCTGCTGTTTATGTTTCAGAGAATATTCTGGCGTGCATATTCTTAGAACACTGGCTCCTGGCTGGGTACAGTGGTACGTGCCCATAATCGCAGCTCCTTCGTAGGCCGAGGCCAGATGAACCTGTATTAGAGCGTGGCCCGGGCAACGTAGCTCTGTTAAACAAAAATCACTGGGCTGTGCTGTATGTGTTTTCTCTCAATGTGCAGTGAACATTTCCCATGTCTTCAGCACATCTGTCCACCCAGTCTTGGTGCTAGTGCAGCTGTTCCGTGTGTTTTCCAAACCCTTGCTACTGCAGCGAGGTTAGTTCCCATTTCCTATGCCATCGCCCATTTTTATTCAGTTTCCTTCTAGATAACACATGCCAGTGTCTTTTGTCACTTTGGGAACACATAGCATGGTGGCATATTGCCCTTACAGAGGTGGGCATTTTACCATCCACCCCGTCTGCCAGCTGACGTTTGAGTGTTTCTTCCCATGTTTCCTAGAACCAGAGCTCATCAGGCACAGACCCTGGCGTCCCAAGATGTCTTGGAAATTGTCAGGAAGAGGGACTGCCCCTCCTGTGTCCTGTGAAGAGATCTCCCACGCCCCACCTGCCCAGGCCCGTGCCTATGTCTAGCTTGGAATCCCCGTCTCCTGGCACTGCTGACATTAGGGGCTGAGTTTTTTATTTTTTTGATTGTCTTTTTAAGAGAGAGATTTTTGCTATAGGGTGTGTGTGCTCGCCAGAGAGATAGACAGAAATCCGCACCCAGGGGGAATGGCCATGCTGCAATCCCTTCTCCATTCTCCTCTCAGGATCTTGGGTACGTACACACATGCACCTGACGTGAGTTTAAGCCACCGGGTCTGGGACACGAGCCACAGCCAACTACGTGAGAGTCCAGTGACATAGCCGTTATGCCTGCTGCTAGTCCTGAAAAAATGTTTGTTTTTTTTGTTTGTTTGTTTGTTTGTTTTTTTGAGAGAGAGAGATTTTTGCTACAGGGCGCATTTGCTCGCCAGAGGCTGAAAGTGAGAAATCCCCCCCTGGGGGAATGGCCATGCCACAATCCCTTCTCTTCCATTCTTCTCTTGGGGTTTTGGGCATACACACACACATACACACACACACACACACACACACACTCACAGTGTGAGTTTTAAGCTGCCGGGCCTCAGACTCAAAATGTGGTCGACTGTGGAAGTCCAGCAGTATAGCTATTATGCGATATGCCGGTCCCCTTGAATTCTTTTTTAATTCAATTTTATTCATTCATTTATTTTAATATGACCAGAGAGGGACACACACTGAGAGAGAGACAGAGGGAAAGTGAAAAAGCAAGCCACCAGGTCTAGGACTCGAACCGGGGTCGGCCATGTGGGATTGTCCAGCGCCTTAACCACCATGCCACCTGCTGGTCCCCCCCTTGAATTTTAAAAAATAATTATTTATTTAGTCCCATTTGTTATTACTATTATTTTTACATTTGACGAGAGAGAAAGGGAAAATGAGAAAGCAAGCCAGCAGGTTCAGGAATCAAACTACAGTCGGCCATATGGGAGTCCAGCACCTCAGGGACAATGCGACCTGCCAGCCCCCAGTACTTTTTTTTTTTTTTAAAGATTTATTTATTTTTATTCGTTATTATTATTTTTTAAAATTTTGACCAGAGAGAGACAGAGAGAGAAATGGTAAGAGAGAAAGCAAGTTGCCAGGTCTAGGACTCAACCTGCAGCCAGCCATGTGGGAGTCCAGTGCCCTTAACTACCATGCCACCCCTACTGACCCCAATACTTACGTTTTTAAGCGCCATATGTAATAGATGTAAGTTTTAAAGAATGATAAGGTAAGCATAGTACCCTCCCAAATAAGAAGCCCTCTGTCCTTCACTCAGAGGCTGATGGCATTCCCTTCCTGGCCACATTCATTGGCGTTGCTTCCTTCCCCCTTGTCAGCCAGTGTCTTCAACTTAGTGTCAATCAATTTCTTACTTACTCTTTTCTCTTTCTTTCTTTCTTCTTTTTTTTTTGGAGAGAGCTTTTTTGCTGCAGGGGCTTGTGCTCACTGGAGAGACCAAGATAGACAGAAAGCAAGAAATCTCCCCCCATGGGGGGATGACCACGCCACAATCCCTTCTTCAGTCTTCTCTTGGGATCCCGGATACGCCCTCACACCCACCTGGTATGAGGTTTAAGCCGCCATGTCTGGGACTTGAACTGCAGTAGACAGCGTGGGAGTCCAGCAGTGTAACCATTACGCCATCTACTGGTCCCAACTTATTCTTGAGTGATATATCTCTTATTTGTTTCCAGAACCTTATAGGCATGAGAGTATGCTATGTATGCCCTTCAGCTGTCAAATGAACACATCATAAATTATGCCATTATTCTGCTAAAGGACATTTATTCATCCTCCATCAAAAAGTTTGTGGGATTTTGCCGTTAAGATTTTGAAACCCTGAAAACTCCTGTAGGTGACTCCTAGGCCTAGAAGCTTAACAGCTGGGCTGTAGCTCATGTATATCTAGCTTCACTAGATAATGCCAATTTGTGGGACCAGCAAGTGATGTAATGGTTACGTTGGTGGACTCCCATGTAGTTGACTACGGTTCAAATCCCAGCCCTAGCAACTTAAAACTCATGCCAGGTGCGTGTGTGTGCATACCCAAGATCCCGAGAGGAGAATGTAGGAGAAGTGATTGTGGCATGGCCATCCCCCTAGGGAATGATTTCTCGCTTTCTGTTTCTCTGTCTGTCTAGACAGTGCACGTGCCTTATAGCAAAAAATCTCTCTTAAAAAAAAAAAAGGATAATGCCAAGTTGTCTTCCAAAGCGATTGTATCTTGGTTGCTCCGCTAGGACATGCCAGTGCTGCTCGTGCTGCCAGCCTGTTTTTAATCTTCACGTCCTGGACTATCTTCCCATATGTTTATGAAATGGGCCAGACATGCTGCTCTTCCATGCAGTGCCTACGTCTTTGGCTTGGTTTTATTGAGTTATTTTGTCTTTTTAAGTGAATTTCTAGGAGTTTTTGTTTTTCCTGAATACTAGTCCTTTGACAGTTTCATATATATCTTTTTTTTTAAAAAAAAAAAAGAGAAGAAGAAATATTTAATTCCACTTGTTATTGTTATTATTTTAATTTGACCAGAGAGAGAGAGAGAGAGAGAAAGGGAAAAAGCAAGCTACCAGGTCCAAGACTTGAACTGCAGTCGGTCAGCACCCCCAACCACCACGCCACTGGCCGGCCCCAGTTTCATACATACCTTTAATCATCTCCTCGTTCCAGCTCAAGTTTTCACTGCATAGTATCTTACAGCGACCTCAAAGTTCTTAAATGTAGCATAATTGATCAGACCTTTTCTTTATGTTTGGCTTTTTCTGTGTCTTAAATCCTTTCTTACTCTGAATATAGAGACATACTTGCCAGTATTTCTAGAAAGGGGTTTATACCAGCTCTGATCCGTCATAAGGTTTTTTTTTTTTTTTTTTTTTTTTTTTTTCATTTTTGTGGTTATTTTTCTTACACCAAGCGAGAGGTAAATCACACACACACACACACACACACACACACACACACGACAAATGGATCTTTACCAAGGTGAAAAGAGCTTTGGTTCTGTGAGGAAGCCATTAGAGACTGGCGCTTCGATGTGGCCCTGCGCATGGTGGTCTGTTACAGTTGTTCAGAAGGTAAATGCGTCTTTGGTTTCTGATTCCCTTTATGCCTGCTTTTTGTCTCGTAGATACAAGTCCAATTCTGCTCAGCTGCTTGTTGAGGCTCGAGTTCAGCCTAACCCATCCAAACATGTGAGTGTCTTCTGCTGAGCTGAGGCTGCTGCATCCACGGCTCTTGCTGTGGCTTACGGTGCACTGAGAAGTTTTGCTTTGCTTACAGTGCCACATGCCCACACAGGTGTTCCATGGAGGCCTAATGCTCCCATTTCGGCCACAGCTTGCAAAGTTTCCTTACAGCAAGCAGGTGGTCAGCGCCTCTCTTCAGGCCCCCTCCAGCCTCGCCCGCCTGTCCCCCTCACACCCAGTGGGCCTGTTCCTCCTGGGGGCCTTGCTGCTCCCTGATTGCTGGCTGCCCTTGGACTCTGCGTGCGCCCTCCCTGGCCTGCAGTGTCAAGACCTCCTTGTGGCCATCTTTCCTTGTAAGCCTGGAATCCCTCTTTGAAGATCCAAATCCAAGCCACCTGCAGTCACCTCTAATTATCGCCAAAGCACCTCTCATTGTCTCTTCAGTCTCTCACATGTGTGCTGTGGTGGTTAGCCCCTCTTCTCAGAAGGGAAGGCCATCAGAACTGTGTCTTTTTTTTTTTTTTTACATTACTTTATTTATTTATTTACTTGCTTTAATTTGACCAGAGAGGGACAGAAAAAGTGAGAAAGCAAGCTGCCAGGTCCAGAACTCAAACCACAGTCAGTCATGTGGGCATGTGGGAGTCCAGTTCCCTTAACCATCACGTCCCCTGCTGGCCCCAGAACATAACAGCACCTAACAATTTCCCGTGTTCTGGAAGCTGAGCAAACACCTGCTGAGTAATTTTTTTTTTTTTTTGAGAGGTTTTTGCTGTAAGGCACATGCGCTCGCCAGACAGACAGAGAGAGACAGAGAGACAGAAAGTGAGAAATCACCCCCCCAGGGGGGATGGCCACGCCACAATCCCTTCTCCATTCTCCTCTCGGGATCTTGGGCACGCACGCACACGCGCCCGGCGTGAGTTTTAAGCCACTGGGTCCGGGATGCGAACTGCGGTCGAGTACGTGGGAGTCCAGTGACATAGCCATTACGCTAACTGCTGGTTCCCTCTGAGTAATTTTTGAATGAGGAACATGTTAGAAAAGGGCTTTTAGGAGGGAGAATTGGGGCTCAGATCACCACATAATTCCTGCAGCCTCTTAGGAAGGTTTCCAGAAGCATAGTGGATAAACATGAGAGTATAATCCTTGTTTTGCACTCCTGGTGAATTTGAAAGAGCCTGCTGTAATCTTGGGAATGGACTTCTTGCCCATCGGTAGGTGGTTGTGGCCAGGGTCCCCGCATTGTCTCTGGCAGTGCGTGTAGCACGGCATGCATTCCCGAGTTCAGGCTCTCCGGTTGTTTGCCCACATCCTACCTAGCCTTCCCCTCCCTCTAAGCGAATCACTTACTTTGGTGTATTAGGAGAAGTTGTAACTTGGTTAAAAACTATAATACTCTGTGGTTTGAGAGTAGTGATAATGACAGAGCTCCTGTCCTTGACAAGTAAAACTGCCAGTGGGCTGTTCGAAGCTTTCTAGACTGAGCCTCCAAGAACTCCGTGCCGGGTTTCTGTCCGGAGTGTACTAGCTGTTGAGCTCTGTGCTGTGCTGGACAGAGGCCGCACACAAAAGAAACCCAACGGCCTCCAAAAGAAGCCGGACTAAGTCATCTCTAAGGACCTTAGCAGTTCTGCCATCCTGAGTTTTTAAACTTGACTTTTTTTTTTTTTTTTTTTTTTTTTGGTGAGAGAGAGAGGGGGCATGTGCTCATGAGAGGTGGGGGAAAGGGAGAATTCGCCCCCCAGGGGGATGGCCATGTTGCAGTTCCCTCTCTTCCATTCTCCTTTCAGGATCTTGGGCATGCACCCAGCATAAATTTCAAGCCGCCAGGTCCGGTACTTGGACCACGCTTGGCCATATGAGATTCTAGCGCCTTAACTACTACGCCATCCGCTGGCCTCCTAAGTCTGACCTTTTAAACCACCGTAATTTCTCATTTCAGCCTTTTTTCTGCCTCTGAGTCCTGGTGATTTGGCAAACCCAGGTCAGAAGCCACCTCCTTCAGGAAGTCTTCCTGGTATTTGTTTACTGCTTAGCACTCTTCAAACTCAGAGTTCACATTTTGTAGTCGGGCTCTGTCACTTGTTGCCGACTCAGGCTTGCCTGCCATGCACCAGCTGCGTGACATGCCCTGTGGATTCCCTGGACCTAACGGCTTCTCTAGCTCACGTGGCTCTACCTCTCTCCAGGTCCCCACAGCCCATCCCCCTCACCACTGTGCAGTGTGTATGCAGTTTGTGCGGAAGGAAAACCTCCTCTCTCTGGCCTGTCAGCACCAGTTCTGCCGCAGCTGCTGGGAGCAGCACTGCTCCGTACTCGTGAAGGACGGCGTGGGCGTGGGTGAGTCTGCACAGAGCCCTTTACAGGCTGGAGTGGAGTGGTGGCTTCATGTGCTCGAGGGAACTAAACGTTTTCTTCTGAGCCTTGGTTTGCTACCAGAATTAGTGGTTTCCAGGTGCACTGGCCCAAACTGGCCACTTTCCCCAGTCCGTAGCAACGTGAGAGTAGCCAAGCTGTTGTAAATGCTGGGAGTGCGGGACTACCTTCTCTCGGGTTTTGGGGCACCTGTCCTGGAAGCCGCCTGCCCTATCCTGATTCCCCAAATGGCAGCTGTAACTCAGAAGCACCCGAAGGGTTCGCGCTGTCTAGGTAGTGTACCTCAAGCCAGGGTTGATGCTCAGTTACAGAAGTTTTGTCACACCGTGCCTTGGTGGTCCTGAGTCTCAGCGGCTCACCTTAGTTTGTATCTGCCGTGCCCCGTCCTTCTGTTGGTGGTGATCGTATGCACAAAATATTAAATGCCACAAAACTCGATTACCAAGAATTCTATGTATGGATTTCTTATGTGACTTTGGTGTTCATTGGTGATTACATACGTAGTTTGGAATGATTTATTTATTGTGTCACTGTGAAAGAGGGAAATTTCCCTCCTCTCTTAGAATCAATTCAAGTTTTTATATGAAATCTGATTTTGTCGGTCACACTCAGTGGGTAAATGCATCATCACCGTGGGTTTTGTATTATGGGTTTGCATCAGCTTATCTTTACTCCACAGGAGTCTCTTGCATGGCTCAGGACTGTCTACTCCGTACGCCGGAGGACTTTGTGTTTCCGTTGCTTCCCAACGAAGAATTGAGAGAGAAATACAGGCGCTACCTCTTCAGGGACTATGTGGAGGTACGAGCAGCCCCTTTTGTTCTGCTCCGTCTTCCTGGGCCTACCTTCCACGGCCACTCATTTTACAGACAAGGTTGCCAGTAGGTCCTTCGCTTTGATGGAAAAGCTCCAGGGCTTTGCAGAAGTTTAAAGCCGCTCAGCAGGCCTGGGAGCCAGCCGTGCTGCCGCACCCTGGTTCTGTGACCTTAGCTCATCGTTTCACTCTCGTCTTAACGGGCAGACATCCCCACCTCACGTGAGCACAGTTGCTTAAACAAGTTACTGTGTGCCGGGGGGTGAACGAAGTGCAGTGTCTCCGAATTTGCTGTTCCGTTCTGTTCACTGTGTCACTCAGCACAGAGGAGGGCTTTGCTTTATGAGCCATTTGAAGACATGCCCAGGTCTCTCGCGGGTCAGCGTAGGAGTCCTTTCCCTCCTTGGGGCTACCTGTCTGGGCTTGCTGGTTCCATGCAGCAAGTTTTCATATTGAGCCTAACTTGGTTTTTTTTGTTTGTTTGTTTGTTTTGAGAAGAATTATCTATTATTGTTATCTTTCCATTTTACCAGAGAGAGACAGAATGAGAAAGAGAGAAAAAGGAAAAAAGCAAGTTGCCAAGTCTGGGACTTGAACCACGGTCAGCCATGTGGGAGTCCACACCTTTAACCACCACACCACCTGCTGGGCCCAAGCCCAACATTATGGATTGATTTGTGGTCTGGGTCTTACACTCCCTCACTGAAGGATAAACGAGGCCATCTTTGGTGTTCTTGGCTGTCTTTGGCAGGAAACCGAGGGCCATTTAGCCCCTTCCAGCCCCGGTCCATCTGCCCTTCCTGTCTCAGGCTGTTTTGGCCTCCTTGTCATAGTAGTCGTAGACCCTCTAGTGAGTTGCAGCCTAGTGTAACCTAGACGCCCAGAGGTCCGCTTCAGTGTCTGGCTGATGCCTAGGCTTCATGGCATCCGTGCTGAATTTGTGTAGCCCTGGATGGGAGGACAGGAGGCCTGCGAGCTCTCAGAGGGCAGCAATGAGGGCGTTCTCATCATTTCCCCTTGTGTGTCCACAGAGCCATTACCAGCTCCAGCTGTGCCCTGGTGCAGACTGCCCCATGGTCATCCGGGTACAGGAGCCTAGAGCTCGCCGAGTGCAGTGCAATCGGTGCAACGAGGTCTTCTGGTAAGAGCGTGCATGGGTGCTGAGCGCCCGGCTTTGCCCTGTCCCACAGAGCACCATCGCTGTGGCTCTGAGGGCCAGCCGCTCTCTTCCGGCTGCTCCACGTGCCCAAGACTCCCATTCCGTGAGGTGTTTGGTAAACGGTCTAGGGACAGGGAGGGCCAGCAGTTCTTAGAGTGTCAGATGTTTGTGCTGCTGAGACTTGTGACCCAGAGGTGGTGTGTGTCAAACTGCACAGGTAATTCACTATTACCGTGTATGACAGCTGCCATCTGCAACATTGTCATTTTTGTCTTGGCCTTTCTTGGCCGAGTTTTTAAAAATTAAGAATTCATGGAGCCAGCAGGTGATGTGGTTGAGGTACTGAACTCTCACGTGGCTGACTATGGTTAGAGGCCTTGGCCCATCTGCTTCAGGGTCACACTGGGTGTGCATGTCCAGGATCCCAGGAGGAGAGTGGAGGAGGGGATTGCAGCCATTCCTCTGCGGGGGTGGTAGGAGGTGCTTTCTCACTTTTCTCCCCCAGCTCTCTCAGTGAGCACACGTGCCCTGTGACAAAAACCTTATAAAAAAATAAAAATACATAAATGTATTTTACATCTTGAGGTTGACTACATTCGTTAGACATCATGGGACTAGCCAGAGTTTACCGAGGTGCCGAGCGGGTCCCAGGGTCTCTTTCCTGATCCCATCCCCCTGCATTAGCCCAGAACCTCGCAGTCAGCACTGTCCTTCCTGTTAGGTTCTAGGGGAGGAAACCAGGCCGCAGTGCAACTTGCTAACGAAGGCCAGAGCCAGGTCTGTCATCCTAGTCCTGGCTCTTTGCAGTGTTCATAGTGTGGCTTCAGAGAAACTCCATGTGTGCCTACATGCCTGCCTCCGAAGACAGTGTTGAGGGCTCTGGCCCTCCAGAGGTTTAGAACCACTAACGTACTGCTCTTCGTCCGTGTCCCGTGTTACGATCTTTCTCTCTGGGGCCACGAGTTTGGCTGGCTGCCTGAGGACCCTTACTGTCTACGAGTACCATCAGCTCGAGCACAAGGGAAGTTGAAGACACAGGAGCCTAGCCTGATGACTAGTGGAATGTTGGGTTTTATGTCTGTTTGTTTATTTATATTTATATATTTACCGGAGGGCACGTGTGCACTTGCGAGGGCGAGAAAGGAAACGTGAGAAAGCAAATCCCACGAGGCACGGCCACGTCCCATTTCTTTTCCCTCCACTTCTCCCTGTTTGTGGGTTTTAGGCACGCATGCTCCCATGCCTGGGGTGGTTTTTTGTAAGAATGATTTTTTCATTATTTTTTCACATGAGGCAGAGAAAGAGGGGGTGGGGGTGGAGGAGAGTGCGAAAACAAGCCACCAGGTCCGGGACTTGAACTGTGGTCGGCCATGTGGGAATTCCAACACCTTCACCACTACGCCACCTCCTGGCCCCATCTGGTGTGTTTTTCTAAGCCACCAGGTCTGGGACTTGATCCATACGGTCGACCTGTGGGATCCAGCCACCTTAACCACCATGCCACCGACTGGCTTCACGTGCTTTCCTTTTTTGAGTTTAAGTGTCAAGTGTGTCATGACCCCCCGATTTGTTAAGTTCCGGCATCTCTGCATTCCCGTGTGTACGTGTGGATGGGAGGTGAGGCACTTCCCAGATGTGGATCTCAGTGCTGCTGGAGTCTGTGCGGAGGGGTCCTTCTCAGTGCCTACCACACCTGTAGGGCGTGACCCCCAGGTACCCCCTCAGGAAGGGCTGACCCCACATGAGATATTTGAACAGAAACGTCTCGTTTGGGCAAACCGCGAGCATGTTTCCGGACCCAGGCTGACAAGACCTTGATCCAGTGTGCGAGGATGGCCCTGGGTAAGTAAGCGTGCCGGAGGCCTGGACTGGTGTCTCACCTCTTTGAAAAGCTCTGATCTAGGATCCGTTGGCTTGGACAGAAGGAAAGTAAAACATGGGACTCTGACTTAATGAGTATTTGAATATTGTTTTTTCTAATTTTAAGTTTCAAGTGTCGTCAGATGTATCACGCGCCCACAGACTGCGCCACTATCCGGAAATGGCTCACGAAGTGTGCGGACGACTCTGAAACGGCCAACTACATTAGTGCGCACACTAAAGACGTAAGGACGCCTCTCCCTGTCACGGCCCTGCCCCTGTAGTCTGCTCGGGCCCGGCCCTGGAGACCTGCCATCTGAGAGCGGGACGCCAGGCCCCAGGGCCCCAGCTGGGGCTGTGGACCCTCACCCAGCCCCTGCAGAGCATCAGCAATTGGTCATGGGATGCACTGGGTGCATTTATTTTAGTAAAGTGCCTAGAAAAGTGTGACCCAGAGCAAAACTAACTAGAAATCTAGCTTTTATTGAACGCCTGCTAGGCTTTGACACGCCGAAGCCAGGTGGCTCGTAGCCACAGCTGACAAATAGTGAGGCGGCGATGCACGACCCGGCCTGCCCAGTTTACTCTGAAGCTTCCCAGGGGAAAGCACGGCCTGTGGGCTCTAGGGCCCCCCAGAGCCTGGGCTAGTCACTTGCGGTGTCAGTGTGCTCACAAGCACAGCTGTGACCACGATGTCGCTATCCATAGTCTACCTAGTGGCGGTGGAGAGCACAGCGTCAGACTGGCCTCTGCATTGCCGCCTCTGGTTGCTGGCCTCCCTCAGATGAGAGCGAGGAACTGGAGAGGTGGGTTCTTACCCTCGCCTGGAGGCAGAAATCCAGGCTAGCTGACCGGGACTTAATCCAGCGCGGCAGCTCTGTGCTTCTTTGGCAGTCCTCCCGAGCGGGCAGGCTTTCTGCCGATTCAGCCTGTGCTTAATCGGAGCACCCTCGTGGCAGGGCAGGTGGTGCTCTGAGTGTCTCCGAGCCGAACGGGCTGACCTCACTTCCTGAATTGCTGTTCCAGCCGCAGCGACCTGCCGCGTTTAAGTGAGGCGCTCCTCCCCAGACGTGCCCGCACGACGAGCTCCTGGGCACAGGTGCCAGAGCTCTGTGTGTGTGTCTTAGAGCCGGCCTGGCGTGTACCTAACGGCGCCCTTCTGTCTCCTCAGTGTCCCAAGTGCAACATCTGCATCGAGAAGAACGGAGGCTGCAATCACATGGTGAGCAGAAGCCCGTACTGTCGGGGCGCGGAGCCGTAGTCGGCGCGCCCTTAACGTGCTCTCTTCTGTTTCCCCCGACAGCAATGCTCCAAGTGCAAACACGGTGAGTGCCCTGCGTGCTGAGGCCTGCGGCACGTCTGTGCCCTGCTGGTTCCCGAGCACCGTGCAGTGGGATGGCAGAGCCAGGGGCGCCCCCTCGCTCCCCGGCAGCGGGCATGCAGCCGGCATTTCACTGTTGGTCCCTCGTAGTCCCACTGCCATCTCTGACGCGGTCAGTCAGAGGTCAAGTTCCGGATGACCCTCACAGCCCTCGGTCATCCACAAAGATCTTAGTGTGCTCTTTTTATCCTTTTAGCCAAGGCAGGTAAGTGGCCTGGGGCTGATCTGTGCTACCTCCTGGAGGCCCTGCGTGGTTTCTCCAGAAGTGGTCAAATAAGCTTGGAGCCGCCTTTGTGTGTGTGTGGCTCTGTGGCATGTCATTCACTCACGAGAGACAGGGTCGGCGGAGTGAGAAAGCATTCCCCACAGGGCTGGCCACACTGCAGCCCTACCCCATCTCTCCCTTGTTCTGGGACTTTGGGCACACATAGCAGCATTTTTTTCTTAAGTTTTTTTTTTTTTTTTTTTAAGAGAAATGTTCATTTTAAGGCACTTGTGCTCCCTAGAGAAACAGAGACAGAAAGTAAGAAATCACCCCCTAGGGGGATGTCCATGCCGTAAACCCTTCTCCGACCTTCTCTCAGGATCTTGGGTGCACATGCATATGTGCCCTCCATGAGTTTTAAGTGCTGGCTCTGGGACTCGAACCACGCTCAACTTTATGGGAGTCCAGCAGTGTAACCACTACACCATCTGCTGGTCCCCTCAGTGTGTTTTTCAAAGCCCCTGGTCTGGGACTCAGACCATTCAGGGAACCAGCAGTTAGCGTAATGGCTATGTCGCTGGACTCCCATGTAGTCGACCACGGTTCGCGTCCTGGACCCGGTGGCTTAGAATTCACGCCGGGCACGTGTGCGTGCGTGCCCAAGATCCCGAGAGGAGAATGGAGAAGAAGGGATTGCGGTGTGACCATCCCCCCTGGGGGGTGATTTCTCGCTTTCTGTCTCTCTGTCTCTCTCTGTCTATCTGGCGAGCGCACGCGCCCTATAGCGAAAACCTCTCCAAAAAAGAAAAAGACCATTCAGTTGGCCACGTGGGGTCCAGTGGCCTTAAGCCACCATGTCACTGACTGACATGCGATGTTGGTGTGGCCTTTCAGGCCCCTTAGCTGTCCAGGGCAGCTTGTATAACTAGATCCTGTGTGGGTAGGTGTCCTTCCTCCCAGATCAAATGAAGCAAAATCCCTACGGGTAGAATCTGCCTAAGGCGTTCTGTGTAGCTGCCTGGGTGCTGACCGGGAGACCCCAGGTGTCCTTGGGGGGCCCTGCTATTGCTGTTCTCAGGAGCCCTCTGTAATCAGAGTGGAAACGGCAAAGTCTTAGATGGGGATGCTGATAGCGAAGTATAGAATGAAGGCTAGCCAAGGTAGTGGCATATTTCCTCTGTGGGTCCCCTGACTACGTGTGCCTGAGTGAGAGAGACGTCGTACACTTAGAGCAGAGCATGGGGCACGGCGACAGGATGACAGGTACTCCCGCGCCCGCCACGGTCCTGATGCCGAGGAGCCCCTGTGCATCCGTCTCGGCGTAGTCTCCCTGTCCCTCGACACTCGGCAGCAACTGTCGTGCTTTGCTCTGCTGTATATTTATATCTGTGTGATGTAGGCTTTTTTTTTTTTCCTTTCTTTTTAAAGTTTCTTTCTTAGAGTAACAAGTACAAAGAGGGGGCACCCAGGGCAGGGTCTCTTTATGCCACAGTCCCCTTCCCTCAGCCCTCCAGCGAGTCGGGATCTCGGGCACACTGGGATTCAGACCGGTGCTGGGCCCGGCTGTGGATCATTCTTTACAAGGAGTAGCAGCCACAGCTTAGCTGGTAGGGACAGGGCGGTCTGTCACCACATGAAGGCTTCCAGCGGATGAGAAGTCGAACATCCTCTGGATCTCTTTGTTTGACTCTAGTTTCCTTGAATCTTACAAGAGCCCTTTTCTGTCTGTCTGTTCTTGTCAATGGACACATGCACTTGCTAGAGAGAAAAAGGTAAGCACCGCAGTGGGGATGGTCATGCTGCAGTCTTTCCTCCTCCACTCGTCCATCCTGCCAGGAGTTGGGGCATGCACCCGTGGCGTGCTTTCCAAGGTGCCAGAGCCCAGATGCGAACCACACTGGGCCGTGTGGGACCAGCTGTCTATGCACAGCACTCCAGCAGGGCCTGCCTTGGGAAGGTCGGGGCCAGGTCGTGCACGGAAGCCCTGGGCAGTTTACCGTGAAGGGAGCGTTGTGTTCCCCACATGGCTCCTCCGTGTGGAAGCAGGATTATAACTCGGTATGAACCGTTGGGTAGCTGTAGGTGTTACAGAAATGTGCTCTTTGAAAAAGAGAAGAAAAGGAAAAAGTCTTTATTTCCAGCTTCATGTATCACAGTCTTCCTGGGACCAGCGCCATGAGGGGCAGCTGGCCCAGAGCACGGGGCACACGGCACATGTGCCAGCTGGGTTTCTGCGCTTGTGGTGGCTCACACAGCACCCCAGCACGTGTGCTCCTGGTGTGGAGAAGGGCCACATCCTCCAGGGACAAGAGGTGCACGCTCCCTGGAGGAGGCACCCTCGGGGAGCTCTGTCCCATGGGCCTTGGGAGCAGGCTCTGTCTGTCCCCTGCCTGACCCGTGCCCTGAGGAGCATGGGCCCGGCTCGTGGGTATAAGTGCCTTGCCCCTGTTGTGTGCAGACTTCTGCTGGATGTGCCTCGGGGACTGGAAGACCCACGGCAGTGAGTACTACGAGTGCAGCCGCTACAAGGAGAACCCCGACATCGTCAACCAGAGCCAGCAGGCCCAGGCCAGGGAGGCCCTCAAGAAGTACCTGTTCTACTTTGAGAGGGTGGGTACCCACTCTTGTACTGCTCCTCCAGGTGGGCTCTCCCAGCTGGCCTGCCGGGGGCATTCCCCGTGGCTGGTAGCCAGTGGCACCCTGTGCATAGTGAAGCAGTGAGTAGAGCTCCCTCCGCAGCCGCAGCTCCACGGGGCAGCCACAGCCTTCAGGGAGGAGCTGGTACCGAGCTCAGTGTCCTGACGGGCTGGCGGGTGACGAAGGGGCCTCCTGGCAGTCTCGTCCATCGAGCACCCTCTTAGATTTAGAGAGCAGCTCCCTCCAGGGAGGCCCTCTGGAAGCCCAGGGAGCTGGGTAACCTGGTCTCCACACGCAGCAGGCTGGCGGGGGCCATCTTTGCCTAGTCTCAGGGTTGGAGTCCTGCGACCCCACAGGGATAGAGTGTTCTGGCAGGGAGATGGCTTCTTCAGACGGGAGATGTGTGGGCTGAAGACCCCACACTCTCAAGGACACAGGCCCCGAGTTAGAGGAGTCTGTGTCCGCGCTGCCAGCCAGGGTGTCTGTCCTGAACCCCGGCGAGGACCTGCTCCTTCTCGAGACTCCTACAGTTTCTCCACCCTTCTGTGCCCTCTAGTGGGAAAATCACAACAAGAGCTTGCAGCTCGAGGCCCAGACGTACCAGCGGATTCACGAGAAGATTCAGGAGAGGGTCATGAACAACCTGGGCACGTGGATCGACTGGCAGTACCTGCAGAACGCCGCCAAGCTCTTGGCCAAGGTGCTCCCCTGCCCTGGCCTGCCCGTCGGTGCCTTTCTCTCAGGGCGGGGCCCGTGGGGGGGGCCTTTAGCGTGCTTCTGCTTACGGGCTGTGCCCCCCGGGGACCTGGCTACCTGCTGGATGTCCAAGGGATTTCTTTTTAAGTACGTTTCATTTACTTTTTCCTCGAGAGAGAGAAGCACCCCCTGACATGGTCCATGCCAGCCAGGATCATGGGCACGTGTCCACCTGGAGAGCACAGGGAGCCCCTCATCAGGCTCAGCATTGCGGAGCCACCACGGCTGGCCCAGGGCTTTCTAAGAGGAATGTTCATAGCCCCTGCCTGCAGGAGATCGAAGCCCTTCTGCCTTTGTCCCATGTGTGTCACTCAAGGGAAACTGAGAGGTGGTCCCTGAGGTAGCTGTGTGCTCTGGGGTCCGACTCAAGAGGGATAGCCATCGAGGCAGCTGCTGCTCGCCAGTGCCAGTTTGCACAGAAAGCGGTGTGCCGTGCCCGTTGTCAGCATTCCGCCTCTTCCTGCCCATCCCCTGTTTGGCTCGGCCCCGTTTCTTGCAGGCCCATACCTGTAGAGCCAGGCTGGTGTGTGGTAAAATGCGAGCCGCCGCGGTGCTGGCGGGCTAGCAGCGCAGGCCTCTTCTCTCCCGCAGTGCCGCTACACCTTGCAGTACACTTACCCCTACGCATACTACATGGAGTCGGGGCCCCGGAAGAAGCTGGTAAGGAGCCTCCCCACTGTCCTGCTAGTCTCACAGGTGTCCTTGTTCACTGGAGCTTCACAGAGGGTGGGGACTGGAGCCCGGTCATGGGGAGGCCAAACCCAGACCAGGCTGTCACATGGCAGAATTTCGTGCACTCCCTGGGCAGCTCTTACACTTGGTCCCCAGTGCTGCCGTTCTCTGTGACAGTGAGGCACCTGGTTACCTGCACAGTCCACAGGAGGGTGGTTGGCCGAAACGTCTGTTGGCACTTAGTTCTCGTCTTTCTTTACATCTTTGTATAAAAGAATTATACTCTTGGGGACCAGCAGGTGGCGTGGTGGTTAAGGCACTGGACACTCCCACATGGCTGACCACGGTTCGAGTCCCAGACCTGGTAGCTTGCCTTCTTACTTTCTCTCACACTCTCGTTCTCTCTCCCTCTCTGGGCAAATAAAACTATAAATAAGTAAAATTAAATAAAATTACTCTTTAAAAAATAAAGGAATTACACTTTTGTTTAATTCTGCATCTTACGTATGCATTGTCCCATTGATTATTAAAGTAATTTTTATGTCTTGCTGAAATGTTGAAGACAGAAAGATTTACGTCATCTGTAATCTCACCAGGAACAATGACTGCCAGCATTTTCAGCCTTTTAAAACCACCGTCATCCATCATGGGGCCAGCAGGTGGCGTGGTGGTTAAGGTGTTGGACACTCCCACGTGGCCAACCACGTTTCGAGTCCTGGACCTGGAGGCTTGCTTTCTCACTTTCCCTGTCTCTCTGTCTCTCTCTGATAAAATGGAAAAAAAAAAAAAAGAATGAGTAAATAAAATTAAATAAATGATTCTTTAAAATTAAAAAAGCTAACATCGTGTATATAGCCAGCGTTACTGGGCTGGTTAGGTCACACTGGTTGGCTGTTACCGCTGCCACCATCCACCAGCCCGGGAATGGCTGTGTAGGAGTCCCATTCTTCACCGGCATTGGAGACATTTATTGTTTCTGTTTTTCAGTACTAAAAATAGGACATTCGGGGAGCATCTTTATTCATAAAGCTGTATCCTTAGATGTATGATTGCTACGTCAAGTGGCGTGGATTTCTTTTGTTTGGTTTTGTCAGACGGTGCGTGCGCTTGCTGGAGAGGGAGAGCCCGCCCCCACCGTGGGCGTGGTTGCGCTGCGGTCCCCTGTCCATTTCTCTGTCCGGTCAGGGTTTGGAGCACGTACACACTCCTGGCATGTTTTTCATGTCACTGGGGCCAGGACTTGAACTGCTCTGTCAGCCATGTGGGATCCAGTTCCCTTAGTCACCAGGCCGCTGGGCTGACCTGGTTTGGATGTATTTAAGGCTCTTGATTTGCAGAAGGGCTGGATAAAATGGGGAGAGTCGAGTGGTACAGAGCATGCGGACAGCCATCCGGACCCGTTAGTGCAGCACCCATCTCCCGCCCTGCCAGGAGCGATCTCTGTGTTGCTTAGATTCCTCCCTTGCCGGGTTGGAGGGCAGTGTGGCCTTGTCACTTGTGCGTACCCTTCAGGTAGCCTTTGGACTCTGACTCGGCACGGAAAAAAGGACGCTGCTCTCTGAGGACAGCACCAGGGTTGTCTGTAGCTTGTGAGTGAGAGCCCTCCTGTGCAGGCCCTGCCTGGGCTCAGCCCTGCACTTTGACCCCGCTCTCCCGTACAGTTCGAGTACCAGCAGGCCCAGCTGGAGGCTGAGATCGAGAACCTCTCATGGAAGGTGGAGCGGGCGGACAGCTACGACAGAGGGGTAAGTGCCTGCTGACCCCGGCTCCTGTATCGCGGGGAGGGAGGACTGGCCTGGAAACGGGTGACAGGCGGTGGCTGTGGACTGGGAGCTGCTGCGGAGGAGGGTGGCGGGCAGGCTCTGACTCCGTGGTATGGACACTGTGGGCGGCTTTGCTGTGGTCTGCCTGGGACGGGCTGTGCAGCACCGCCTCGCTTCCGGGCAGGACTTGGAGAACCAGATGCACATAGCCGAGCAGCGGAGGAGGACCCTGCTGAAGGACTTCCACGACACCTAAGCTGGGGCCTGGGCTGCTGGGGCCTGGGCTGCTGGGGCGGAGGCCGTGGCTGGGAGGGCTCCGGCTGGCGTGGTGGCTG